TGTAGGAACACCAGGTGTTCTACCTCACAGTGGGAGCACCAGGCATTCTTCCCCACTGTGGGAACACAAGTGGTTCTACCTCACTGTAGGAACACCAGGTGTTCTTCGTAGCTGGAACCCAGCACCAGGTGTTCTTCCTAGCTAGAACCCAGCACCAGCTGTTCTTCCTAGCTGGAACCCAGCACCAGGTGTTCTTCCTAGCTGGAACCCAACACCAGCTGTTCTTCCTAGCTGGAACCCAGCACCAGGTGTTCTTCCTTGCTGGAACCCAGCACCAGGTGTTCTTCCTAGCTGGAACCTAACACCAGCTGTTCTTCCTAGCTGGAACCCAGCACCAGGTGTTCTTCCTAGCTGGAACCCAGCACCAGGTGTTCTTCCTAGCTGGAGCCCAGCACCAGGTGTTCTTCCGAGCTGGAACCCAGCACCAGGTGTTCTTCCTAGCTGGAACCAAGCACCAGGTGTTCTTCCTTGCTGGAACCCAGCAACAGGTGTTCTTCCTTGCTGGAACCCAGCAACAGGTGTTCTTCGTAGCTGGAACCAAGCACCAGGTGTTCTTCCTAGCTGGAACCCAGCACCAGGTGTTCTTCCTAGCTGGAACCCAGCACCAGGTGTTCTTCCTAGCTGGAGCCCAGCACCAGGTGTTCTTCCGAGCTGGAACCCAGCACCAGGTATTCTTCCTAGCTGGAGCCCAGCACCAGGTGTTCTTCCTTGCTGGAACCAGGCACCAGGTGTTCTTCCCAGCTAGAACCCAGCACCAGGTGTTTTTCCTTGCTGGAACCAAGCACCAGGTGTTCTTCCTTGCTGGAACCAAGCACCAGGTGTTCTTCCCAGCTAGAACCCAGCACCAGGTGTTCTTCCTTGCTGGAACCAAGCACCAGGTGTTCTTCCTAGCTGGAACCCAGCACCAGGTGTTCTTCCTAGCTGGAACCCAGCACCAGGTGTTCTTCCTAGCTGGAACCCAGCACCAGGTGTTCTTCCTAGCTGGAACCCAGCACCAGGTGTTCAATCTACTCGTGCACCAAACACTCACATTCTTCACCCTTCCAGTTTGCTGAGATTTATGGTGCTGGAATTTCCCGTTTTATTTCTCACCATTTTTCCAGCCGAAAATACGCACACAAAAACAGAAGTAATTAGTCGGGGTTTTTTATCTAGATCTTTTAATTATCCTCTCGTGTAAATATTTTAATGAAAGATGAAATAAAAATTATCCAAATCAACTCACTTGGCAGACACATGCATTGAATCAGCATCTGCCAGAGGTAGACCATATGTAACTTTTCGGAAACACGTTGAAGCACGTCAGCTCTTTATCTCCGCACGTTTACAGCATTTCATCAGCCAGATACAGCGCCTTCTCCACACACAGATGACACGGGAGGAGCCGTGTACCTGATAACTTTTTCTACCGGACTGACCTTTTTGTCTAATTCACTACATAAACACAAAATGGAGAGAAACTGTGTTAGCCATGGTGGCAGTGCATCCAGTCAATTACTGATTATAACAGACAATCTTGCAGAATAAGCTATTGCTGCTGCCAGACTTCCGCTGGCCTGCCTTCTTTCCGTATTATGTGTACCTGGTCTAGCACTGAAATCTTCCATCCTGACTGTCTCAGTTTGGTAGACCACAGGTTTTTAGACCTCTGTTATAGTGAGTGAGTGAGTGAGTATGGTTTTACGCCGCTTTTAGCAATATTCCAGCAATATCACGGCGGGGGACACCAGAAATGGGCTTCACACATTGTACCCATGTCGGGAATCGACCGCTCTGTTATAGAGTTGTATGGAAGAGTGAGTGAGTGAGTATGGTTTTATGCTGCTTTTAGCAATATCCAGCAGTCTCTAAGCAGGGGGCACCAGAAATGGGCTTCGCACATTGTACTCATTTTGGGAATCGAACCCAGGCCTTTGGCGTGACAAGGCTACCCCAATACCCCTTCAAAGGAAGAAGGGGAGTAGACACTCAATCTCTTCCTCAACTAAAGGGCGGTCGGGTAGCCTAGTGGTCAAAGCGTTCGCTCGTCACTCCGAAGACCCGGGTTCGATTCCCGACATGGGTACAATGTGTGAAGCCCATTTCTGGTGTCCCCCGCCGTGATATTGCTGGAATATTGCTAAAAGCGGGGTAAAACCATACTCACTCACTCACTCCTCAACTAAATGAGTGAGCCTTGATCCCGGTGTGCATCACCCCATGCATGAGCCCATTTTCCATGGTTACTGGTGGTCAGGAACAGCTTGTTGACCGTTGCTATGATTGCATCAGAGGGGCATGGGTGGCCGTGCAGAGTCGTGTTCCGTAGATTATCGTTGTTTTAATCCGAGATTTATGATTCCTGGTTTGTTGGCGCTTGTCCGTCTCTTGGGTTTCACCAAAGTGATGAACACCAAAGACCTGCTTCACTACAGGCTTTTCCCCCGACACGATGAAAAGTTATATCTAGAAATGATGCTTGGACAAGCATGAAGATATTGGGAGCTCAGAAATTGTACTCTTTACACAAGGCACCAAATGTGATAGACAAGGAGATGAGGTATAGAATGGTATGTATGGTTACTGATAGGACCAGTAACTAATTTTTGTTATGTTTAAAGACTGTGAGGGAGTATGACTTTATGTCGCTTTTAGCAATATTCCAGCAATGTCAAGGTGGGGGACATCATTGTACCAATGTGGGGAATCAAACCCGGGTCTTCCGCGTGACGAGCAATTGCTTAGCCAATAGGCTAACCAACTGCCCTATATGTACAGACAAAACTGACATAATGTGTAAAGTTTCGATAATTCTACCCTTTCATGATGTGCATACTTATAATGCACCAAATCTACAGACTAAAGCATGTTCAAAGCACTACATTATAACCCCAGTCAGTGCATCAGTGTGCATTCGTTTTTCATTCTCAGCTCCCTGGGGAGTATGCATCCCAAGCTGTTTGTGAGGAGGTCAACAGTTACGCTATCATCTCATCCTGCCTTTCTCCCATGTATACTTGGTAAATATATCCACTTCCACAGATTAAGGTTTAGATGTCCTGGTTTGTATTGCAGTGGATATATTTAGAGTAAAATAATAGCTGAATGTGTCATTCTGAATTAAAAAGGCAAATTCGACCAGCAGTGTAGTGATATTGGGTGTAAGCTGTAGACTTCTGTAAGGGGCATCCTGTCGAGGGGAGCCATGAGACAGCGTCTAATTAGTCTAATTAGGTAATTTATAGCCAAGTTACCACTCCCCTTTTACTATGGTCCCTGTTATGAGCAAGTGGGGCAGGATGTGCTGTCAAAGGTGGGGAGCAGAGTAGCTGCCTGTACTCAGCGTGGGTTCCACATACAGTTTAAGGGGCACCACCCCCTCATCCAACACAAGGCTACACTACAAGGCGCCTGGATTCAGGGTAGAACCGTCTCTAGAATCTCTGACATGTTTGTGGATTCAGGGTGGAACCAGTCTCTAGAATCTTGGACATGTTTGTGGATTCAGGGTGGAACCGGTCTCTAAAATCTCCGACATAATTGTGGATTCAGGGTAGAACGGTCTCTAGAATCTCTGACATGTTTATGGATTCAGGGTAGAACGGTCTCTAGAATCTCTGACATGTTTATGGATTCAGGGTAGAACGGTCTCTAGAATCTCTGACATGTTTATGGATTCAGGGTGGAACCGGTCTCTAGAATCTCCCACATGTTTGTGGATATGGGATAGAACCAGTCTCTAGAACCATGTTCACGTGCGACATAATGATGGATTCAGGGTAAAACAGTGAACTGACAATCTGTTGCTTCAGTTTTGCATCCCATCTTTCATTAACACACAGCTGTGACAGTGTGGCAGTAATCAAAGTTTACTCAGGTGTTTCATGAATTTGTAAATGTTAACCTTTCCAACACAGATCTATTCACTTCCCTACAGTTACAAGTAATCCTGTGTGTGCCAGTGACAAACACTTCTCCTTGACGCTAGTATACTGGCACACAGGGAGCCTACACAGTTATACCCATGTACTGTTTCCCTCAATACTGATTCAGGTCCAACAGTGTCTATGCTGTTCACCTCAGTACTGATCCTATTATCCTAATTTCATCAGAGGCTGCATACTTCAGACATAACTATGGAAAACTCAATTTACATCCCAGATTATTTTTAGAGAGACTAAAAACTTCATTTTAAAAATAAACTTCAAATTAATTCTTTAGCCGCTATGTTCTTTCTGTCCAAGAAATTCTTTTTTTAAATCAAAATCTAGAATCGCTGCACTAAAGAATGTGCATCTGTATTTCTATCCCTATACAAATATTTCTTTACAGTTCATCGAGAGACTAAAAACTTCATTTTAAAAATAAACTTCAAATTAATTCTTTAGCCGCTATGTTCTTTCTCTCCAAGAAAATATTTTTTAAATCAAAATCTAGAATCACTGCACAAAAGAATGTGCATCTGTATTTCTATCCCTATACAAATATTTCTTTACAGTTTCATCGTGTACAATGATATACATGCCGAGACAAAGTCAAGTCAATTGGTACAATGTCCCTCTGATTCAACCCCTGGGGGCATACTTCCAATAACCCCACTCAATTTCCCTATAAACCTATTTGCTTGATCTTGCCTTTGTACTATTCCCAGACACAAAGGCCACACCATACACATTGTGGAGCTGTAATCAGACATTTATGGCAACTCAACAATAGTCTACTATGCTTTGATAATACAGTGTTGCACTTAGCAAAACATTATTGTCTGGTAATAAAATTGCTTACCCTTTATGCATTTTCTAATAATAACATTGTTAGAGCGAGCTGGACTGAGAGCTGGTCCACTCCGTCCCCTCTAGATAAGGCTAGAGCATGCGTTGTGCCGCGTTGTGCAGTGTTGTGCCGTGAAGTACTTCAGTCTTCCCACTTATAGGACATCTGTATCCTGAACAAGTAATGGTCGGGTTCTCCAGCGCCTGGCGTCCTCATCGTAACCAAACTCTCTCTTTCTTTCATTCCAGGCCGGCTCCACTGCGGTATCAGTGGCAGGACTTCTCCATCTTCGCTGCAACAGCATCTACAGTAAGTTGTTTACCTGCCATTTGATGAAGTTAATATTTTTGTTGGTGTTGATTTACACGTCTCTCGTCACATCCACAAAAAATGTGAAATTTGTTACATATTTAGTTTTTTGGCCCCATGTTTGAAATGTGCAGCGTGATGTTTTCTGGGGTTCCTGTAATTATGTGATGATATATGATGATATGTGATGATATATTATGATGTTTTACTTGATGTTTTTGGGAAATTTGTTTGATCAGAATTGCATTTTAATATTTGAACATAGGTATCACATGCTGCAGAAAGTTTCTGATTTGAAAAGGTTTCATTTATGTGAGAGGAATTCTTTTGTGTGATGAAATACTTCTTAAAATATTAATTAGGTATCAACTTTTAGTTTTTTTATAGTTTCAGTGTAGCGGCAAGTTTTGTGTAATTGTACATATTTTATCTTGGATACATCTGGTCATGCTTTCTTGTAGAAAATGGTTTGATTACCTTTTTCTGAACTGACATGTTATATAATTGTGTCATGGCGGCCCAGTTAGCAGATTAACATATCTTGTGATGCTTGTCAAGGAAGTTTCAACAAATAAGGAAATATGAGAAACACGAGTCACACTTGGTGTTCGGTATGTGTGTAGGCGACAGTTTGTAAACACGCTCTAGTTGTGTGTAATAATAGTCCTCCCAAGCTACAAATAGTTGACACACAGGCCACACTTCCTTTTAATCGTTTTATTTTTATTATATTTTGGCAGACCATTAGGTTTGCTATGTCAAAATCAATATGTTGTTCCTTACTTACCCCACATAAACTTTATGTGTCGGTCGGTTTAGTAGGAATAAATAAATATTCATTCTCTTGAAATTTCAGAGTTTCATATTTTAGCAATAGCGTGTATTAACATGTCAGGGAAAGGGCTTTTTCTTTCTATGAGCGGTTTGACACTAAATGCAATTCATTTGGTCAATTATTATTTGAAAAGTCAACAGTTCAATTTGTATAAATTTTGTAGTTGTATATTTATACATTAAACTACAGTTATAAGAACTCAAAGGGACCATTAATTTTAGTTCGTAGTAACTATTTTTGGTATTTTCTGATTGTAGGTTTTGACACTGGTTGATAATTTTGTAAACCATAAATGTATGTAAAGTGTGTCGCCTTAGATCACATGCAGTGAATGTGTCTGTGTGTTCATGATATCGACCACTGGATTGTCTGGGGCAGTCTTGATTATTTATAGACTGCTGTTTTAACAGTGCTTACTGCTGTGATATATACTGGAATATTGCTGACTGGTGTGATATACTGGAATATTGTTGGCTGATGTGATATACTGGAATATTGCTGGCTGGTGTGATATACTGGAATATTGCTGACTGGTGTGATATACTGGAATATTGCTGACTGGTGTGATATACTGGAATAATGCTGGCTGGTGTGATATACTGGAATATTGCTGACTGGTGTGATATACTGGAATATTGCTGGCTGGTGTGATATACTGGAATATTGCTGACTGGTGTGATATACTGGAATATTGCTGACTGGTGTGATATACTGGAATATTGCTGGCTGGTGTGATATACTGGAATATTGCTGGCTGGTGTGATATACTGGAATATTGCTGGCTGGTGTGATATACTGGAATATTGCTGACTGGTGTGATATGTAAGAATATTCCAGACTGGTGTCTAGAAGCACATTCACTCTTGATTGCTCCGAGTTGTCTATCTGTGTAGAGAAGCAGGTTTGGTGTATTTACCAAGAGTTTATCACACCAACACTTAACATATCACAGCCTTGCCGGAAGTTTCTTCAGGGAATCTGGGGATGAGGTCACAACAGATTGTAATCAGTCTATTTACTCTATTCATTTAGTATAAGAACAGTCTATGTAACAGTACTTGTGACATGACTTTGATGCCCGTGTTGAGAGAGTGAGGACGTTTCCTACTGTCCTTCTTAGCTGTTAGACTTCACTGACAGATTCGATAAACATAGCAATTGGGAACATTTATTTGAAAGGCTATTTTAGTTTAAGCAGACTGATGTACTTAGATATTTTTCTTTTATATATGGGAGGCACAGGTGGCCAAGTCGTCTAAGGTGACGCAATTCACTTTCCAGAGTTGTGTCCCTTGGGCAAACCAGAATCTTATGATTGTGGGTTCGAATCCTTGTTTACCCCAGTTATGTTCCTAGGTTTGTCAGCACCATACTAATGCTCATGTGTTTCCCCACCGAAGTGGTAAACGTCCGTGACCTGCGTCACTTCGGGCTTCCTCCCACATTAAGCCGACACACCGTGATATAACTGGAATACTGTTAAAAGCGGCATTAAACCCAACTCACTCACTCACTCTTTCATATGCAAGGGTTGGTGGGTTTCCTCTCAGTACTGATTCCCCAACAACTGTACAATATGTGACTACAAAGGGGGTTTATTAGTCCGTCTCCCAACTCAAGTCTAGATTGCCTCAGCTCTAAAATTAAGCATTGTTCTGGGCTAGATTTGGATATTATTTTCTATTTTGTGGATGTATATTTGAATAAGACAGTTCTATGTCTGGGATTAGACGTGAGCTTTGGTGTTTATAGAAATAATACATTCTGTAATAGAGTGGGGGGCACGGGTGGCCCAGTCGTTTAAGGCGCCGCGATTCGCTGTGCAGAGTTGCGTCCCTTGGGCACGCCAGAAACCTATGATTGTGGGTTCGAATCCCGGTTCGCCCCGATTATGTTTCTAGGTTTGTCAGCACCATACCCGTGCTCGTGGGTTTCACCGAAGTGGTAAACATCTGAGACCTGCATCACTTCAGGCTTTCCTCCCACATTAAGCTGACATGCCGTGATATAACTCGAATACTGTTAAAAGCAGTGTTAAACCCAACTCACTCACTCACTGTAATAGAGTGAATTGTTCAACATACAGTTACAAAAGGCTAGACCACTGTTTCCCAGGTAAACATGCACATGAAGAAGATACATGTGCATGTATAGCACTGACCATAATGACGCTATTAGCCTTGCTGCAAGGCTGTACTGCATGATAAGTCATGATATTGTCATTCTATCCTTATAACAGGCAAGTCTAGATAGGTGGACAGTACGAACAGTTTAAGGACGTCTCTTATAGGGAGAACTTGTTATTATTTATATAATCTAGAAATTATGATTTAAACTAATAATTTTTACCATAGAGACTTGTGCAAGTCTAATATGCTATACACTAAGCCCTGACCATTTGCAGCTGTCTCAGTCTAGACTTTGTAATTAATCCCCTGTGTGAAACTGAGACATTTTTTGTATAATTAGGGTAATCATTGACTGATAAACCTGGCACAGGACATAACGTTTTGGTTAGAGGACTTTGTGATGATGGAACCACTTGAACCTTGTTGTCGTCTGTCTGGTGTTGTCTGACAATTTCCCTAGTGGATGGTTTGACATACTCAAGATCCCGGACACAGGACCATGATGCGGTATGACTTACCAGGATCCCGGACACAGGACAAGGATGTGGTCTGACCTACCAGGATCTGGGACACAGGACCAGGATGTGGTCTGACCTACCCGGGATCCTGGACACAGGACCAGGATGTGGTATGACTTACCAGGATCCGGGACACAAGACCAGGATGTGGTCTGACCTACCTGGGATCCCGGACACAGGACCAGGATGTGGTATGACTTACCAGGATCCTGGACACAGGACCAGGATGTGGTATGACTTACCAGGATCCTGGACACAGGACCAGGATGTGGTCTGACCTACCCGGGATCCCGGACACATTTGATTTGGGTTTAACGTCATGTCCAAGATTATTGCACTTATATAGCCATGTGCATGCATGTGTGTGTGTGTGGCTGCTTGCACTTGTCTGGTACTAATGCCGATTTATAGTGCTAGCACACTGAGATACCATGCCGCAGTTTAATTTGGTATGACGCGGCGGGGGATTGAACCCACAACCTTCCGCTCTCCATGTGGACGCTCTACCACTTGACCACGGAGGCGATCCAGAATAGAATTGCTTGAAGAGACATGTTGAGATCTGTTTAGAAAATGTTAATATATTCCTGTTACCCACAAGTCTAGGATGATCATGTGTATTAATTTTTATGTTTGTAAGCAGGCATTTAATTATTCTCACTGCTAATTGGTCAGTTAAAGCCATGATATGTCACAGTGCTTCACTGTTGAGAAAATATATGACGTCATCCATTGTTCGTGACATCACAAACTGATTACATGACATCATGTTAACAAAAGGCTGCCTTCAGTGCAGATTATCGGTAGGGTTGACATTCCATTTTCTTTATTTTCTTTCTTAAAATGAGTAATATATTTAATAACCTACTCAAAACTCAGAATTACAGCTAATATGTCCTCGTGAATGAATGCTGTAAACACCTCGCCAAAGGATCAGGATTAATGCAATTCATTTACTCAGGACAGATAATCTGTAATTTGTCACAGCTCATTGGTTCTTCTCTAAATGTTTATGTTGCAATAGTAACATGCCCTTGCTAGTTGTCATTAGCCGAGATGTTCTCCAACAAAAGTGAATGCTTGTTTCTTATAGAAAGAAAACATTCCACAGTCTAAACACAGCATTTATTTGTTACCAGTAAACCAACCAACACAAAAATATCCTGCCAAATCAAATTTGAAAAATATCAAAACAAAAAAAATGAAAATTTGTTATGATCTCCTGAAGCTAAAGTGTTACTAAAGTGATGCTTGTTTCTTATAGAAAGAACACATTCCACAGTCTAAACACAGCATTTATTTGTTACGAGTAAGCCAACCAACACAAAAATAGCATGCCAAATCAAATTAGAAAAATATCCATATAAAAAAAAAATGAAAATTTGTTATGATCTCCTAAAGCTAAATTGTTACTGAAAGATCGGTTGACCATAACTTTGAAGACGGCATGGCCCGAGTGCAGCCACCGTGATGGTTGAAATGTCAGGGAAATCACTTAGTCTGTGATTTATTACCCAA